TTCAAAGCTTCTAAGATCCATTGCTCGATTTTGCATGCTCTGCTCCCAAAATGCAGAGACTTGCGAGGGCAGATCCGGGTTGGTTAGTCCGGAAAGTCATGGGAGAGGCAGGCTAAGTGAAATAATATACTGGAAACTACGCAAGTTTCTGATGGTTCGCACTGCGGCAGCTTCTGGGCTAATTGGGGCTGCAAATTTTCTGCGTTTTTGAACTATGAATTCCTTGACATGCTCAAGCTTGGCTATCACTGCCCCCGCCATGGCACCAGCAACAAAGATGGTCACCTCCAATAATGGTGGTGTGACTGTGACGGTGGGCTTGGGCTTGGTCACAGGTGATTGCCGTTGCAAGTGCTGCTGCAAGCCTGCAACTGTTATTGCCGCTAGAAACCCTCGCCCACCGCTGCAAATCAGTCATCGGACCTGTTACTACCGTAACTATTACTGCTAGACGGCTGGACCTGCTACAAAATCAACGCTGGCCGCCGTAGATGAAACTGACCGCCGTCGCCGGTCGCCGTGAATCATCATCGTCGTTGTGTCGCCATCGAACGCCATAGGTCGTGGTCGGTTGGGTGTGAGGGCTGAGAGGAGGGAAGGTTAGAATGAAAATGGGGGTCGTTCTAATCCTAAGCATTCGTAATATTTGGGGTCAGGGATACAGGAGTCACTTTATTATTTGTTTTTTTATTTTATTTAAATCAATGAAAATAAAAATTATAACCTACAAACCGCTGCCCAGGTCGAATGGTTTAGCGGTTCGACTGCCCGAGTCAACGGTTTTCTGACTTTTTCAATGGTTTTTAAGGAATTGCCAGTTTATAATATAATCAGACCCAGGGGCCTGACCAATTACCGATTTTTCTAGTCCGACCATTCGATTTTGAAAATCATGGTTCAAAGTATCAACACAAGTCGATATGCGGCATATGCCAGTCTGTACGTTTTATTTTTTTTCATAACCAGTTCAAAGGGGTCGGTTTAAGTCCTAACTACCCTCTGAACCATGGTCTAACCCGATACAACTCCTATAAGGGCATATCAGGAAGCCATCGGCATAATATGTATAGGCCGATACAGATCGATGTGTCGATACCTTGAAACTTGATCTGCTCAAACACTACTTTAGTCTTTAGTATATGCTTGGCATCGATGCAACAGATTATGTGTGGATTGAAAGCATCATTTTTTGAAAAAACAGTGTTTTTTTTTAAAAAAAAAAGTTGCTGCCAAGTAGGACGTTTCCTGGAGAAACAACACTTTCTATTTGGTACCAGTGCACCATACCTGTTTTCAACACTGATACCCATTATAGAAAGTCCACGTCACTGCCACATCATGCCTTCGTTGACAGCAACAATCTCCAATATGAGAAAACATCAAATTCAGCATTGCTCCAAACCACACCTCGATTTCAAAGGCATGGCTTGGAGCACCGTTTTTTATGGAAAAATGATTCCAAACATATTAACGTTTCCTAGAGCACTGATTTTTTCAACGTAACGCCGATGTCTCACTGATTTTTTCGACGTAACGCCGATGTCTCACTGTTTTCTAGAGCAACAGCACCGATGCCAAACAGACACTTAATTCATGAAACAAAAGGCATGAAAATTAAGAAAATTTTCAGTACGTCTATTGAACTGTAATGATCTTGACAGCGTGCCAATTCCTGCAGTACTTGCCATCTGAATGGGTATTTATTTGTCCACAATTAGCCTGGTAGCAGACCTGGAAGGAATGCAAAGCTAGCATGATTACATTAATAGTTGTACAAAAAACCCCTCCCCCGAAAAGAAAAAACAAAACAAAACAAAACCGAGTTACTATTGATAGGAGGGTTGCTGTGTATTGAAGTTCTGTACAGCAGATGATATGAAAGCCTGAAGGAAATTCTGTGCTGCATTCATCTTCTCAGAAGACCCATGGATCTCGACAACACACTCTGAACCACCAGCCAGGGGATCCTGCAGCTTCACTCTTGCCCCAGAAATCTGGATTTGAAAATTACAAAAAGAGACAAGAACCAACCAGGCATCAAAAATCTTGGTTCAGCCACAAGCACACAACGCTCAGTAGTTTCTAGTGTTCAGAAACATTGTAGTTGTATAAAATGGAAACCTGTGGACTTAGTTTGAAAATAATTCAAAGAGAAAAAATCAAACGAATTATAACTGGTTGACCTAGTCATAAAAGCTAACCCGCCATGCATATATTTAGAACAGTTTCAATGAACTACTTACATTTTGAGTAGACCAAGTATTAGGTTAAAGTTTTACCTCATGAATATTGGAAATGTTGCTTCCACCTGCTCCAAGAACAGATCCCACTGCGTTGTTTGGAATCTTAACTTCCATAGGGTTGTCAACATTTGGATATCTGTGGCAACAGAAAAGATTGGTGGGAATCTGAATAATACCATACGAATGATGATGTCAAGATGAATGAAGACTAAACTAGAAATGGTTACTGTACCCGGTAGGAGCAGGCTGAGCTTGATAATTTGGAGCTTCATATTCACCTCCAGCACCCTTCAAAATAGCACAGTTGAACTTTAGCAGTCAACTATTAATTTTTTTATAAACAAGAAAAAGATACAAGGCCATACTGAAGTATATGGTGAGAGTAGTATTACAAAGATCAAACAAAGATGATACCTTCATATGGTCATATCCACCAGAGCTGCCAGCTCCTATTATACTGGAAGGTGGTGGGCCTGGTGGCCCTCTTACAGGGAAGTTTCCTGAAGGACCAAATCCCTGAAAAGGCCCCATTGAAGGTGGAGGTGGTGGCGGAGGAGGTTCTACAGCAGCATTTGAGCCCCGAAGGGTTCTGACTCTAAGTCTTGAAGCAATCTCCGACAGGGCATCTCTGGCAACACTATAATTTCCAGATATCTGTATGATCAAAAGCCAAAGTTATTTAAAGAACCATAAATCATGAATTTGGAGGGGGGGATACTCTGAAGAAAGTACACATCACCTGGACAAGCTCTTCATCTGCAGATGCACACTTGGGCCTACCATCCTTGGATATAATACGTATATCTGCTTGTGTTCGCCTTCTCATCTCTGTAATTACATTACCTCCCTGTCCAAGGAGGCAACCAACCTTACTTGATGGAACAAGAAGCCTAGTTGTAATGATACCATTCTCAGACATTTCACTTGTTTTGCCCTGAAGCTGAAGAATTGCCTCAATAGTTGGTGATCTTGGATTCCACAGGCCCTGAAACAGTTCAGTATATAAAGGCATTGCCAAAGTGTTTACAATCACAATATCAGTAGATATTGATTTAGCACCATAAACATTCTACAGCTTTACCAATTAACATGAAAGAATTATGTTGCAGAAATTTAATTACTTATGGAGATGGCAGGGATACCTCAAAAGAAGAGACAACAATTGCACGTTCATCAACATCTGGAAACGTATCATCAACTTGAATGTTAGCTCCTGTCTCCTTCTGCAACTGCTTTACATTACTACCACCCTTTCCAATCACCCCACCAATTTTACTAGATAAGCACAAAATTTTCAAAGAAAACTCATCTGATGTTTCCCCAGCATTTCCAAAAGAACCCTGCATAAATCCAGATTGATTTCCATATCCCCCACCCCATGGCATTGGTGGTGTACCATGGGCTCCGTGGTGAGACCACATTGAGTTTCCTTGTGGCAGCATGGGGCCGCCTGGTGGATAAAAACCTGAGCCACCACCAGATTTGGGATAACTCGTAGGAATGTCTTTACGTGGATTCTGGTACAAAAGTGTAGAAACTTCATAGAGAGCCCTCTTCGCCACAGCTGATGTTCCAGATATCTGAGAAGTGCCTTGCAAAATTAGAGTTTATTGGGGACGACAAAGACAATGCAAGACTCCCCAGAACCAAACCACCAATCTCCCAATGTCTGTGCATATTATGTATTTGCATAATAAAACATCAACCATGACTAAGAAAAAAACAGGATTCAATACAGAAGCATTTAAGAATAGATGAAGCCCAAGGAACTGTTACTCTTGTCATAATTAATGGAGATAGCAAAGGGACAACCAACTACCTCTAGGTAAACCTAATGGTTAGAAGAAATTCAATTGGGTGAATGGCAATCATATTTGCACGTGTAAACAGAAAGAAGGCTTGAAGCCTTGAACTGATATCTATCTGTTTGATGGACAAGGCACTTGTAAGAAAATAGCTATATGGATTCATGAAAGAATCCTATATGCTCTGTAAAAGGATAATTGCTAGTACAATTGCTTGGAGTATGAATTGGAGTCAACCCCTAATTCGAAATCTTAAAAATCAAAGTGGACCACACCATGCAGTCTTCTTAACCATTCACTTTCACGAAGGAGGTAATATCATATGATTGGCAATAGGCCTATGTGTGAAGTCTTTCTTCCTATTGTTTGGAATAGATGTTTCTGCTTTTAGGTTGCAAAGTTAGCAATCTGATTTTGATAGGAATTTCTACCATTCAAATCAGGGAAATTATATATGAATTTTCAAAATCTCAGACTGACAAGCATGAGAGCACAGGTTTGAGTCTGAGAAATCACCACCCTGTGCAAAAAATGCCGAAGGTTAGGACCATATCCAATCTACCCCTCTTAAGACCCCAGATAGCTGGGATCAACATTGGGTAATAGCCTTTGATATAGGAATTTTCAAAATAGTGTAAAACTTTCCTATTTAAGAGAACCATAGTACTTTTTGAGGAACTGAAGAGGTTGTTGACATGGGCATGATTGTTCCTTTAAACCCATAACGAAATGCATAAAAAAACACACCTATTTAGAATAACAAACAAAGTTCCTATTAATGGGCAAATACCATTTACATTCAAAATAAAACCAATTCAAATATGAATTTAGCCAGCATATATCTCATCTCTACAAAGACGTTAATAAGCTTCATTGTAGACCTTATGAAGTTGTAGTCATGAGGTTGCATGCAGTACATGGCCTAGGGGTCACATCAATGATAGAGCTGACCACCTTTTTTTATTTGCTAGCAGGATTCCAAGTCTCCAACAAACAATAATAAACCAGATGACAAGGGCAGGAGAATTTGGATCCAAACCCCAAATTATCGAGTGACCACTATCATTGGTGATAATAATATGTCCTTCCTATAATAATGGATATACACTGCATATACTCCCACCAAATTATGTTTTTGAGGTAGATGCTGTATTTTCACTAATAATTACTTGATGCACAAGGCTAAGGATATTAAGAACCAATGCTCTCTATGTGGACTTAAGAAGAATTGTGTCCTCAACCCCCTTCTTCACTGTGAATACTCATATAACATATGATCTTAAATTATTAACTTATTTGGGTATCAATCAATGATCCAGGAAACTTGTAAATGCTTACTGATTGCTGGATATTGAAAGGATTCAGATGAGGTCATACACTATGAAACCTAACTGCATTTGACATATGGAGGTGCCTTTAGAAAGAAACAATAGGAAGAAAGCACGAAGTATTGGTAAAGTGGAGAACCTAATTTTCCTTTAGTCCCCCATCTTGGGGAATCTAGAGTTTTGAGGTTTAGTAAACTTAACAAATCACAATAATTGGAAAGATGGTTATATTAATGGTAAATGTGTGTATTCATTGACCATTAACATAGTCACAAGAACAGTTGTGTATTGCCTCACATGTATTACCATATATTGACCACACAATCCCTTTATAGGGGTGTTCACATTAAATGTCAAACCGACCAAACCGGCCCGACCCAACCCGAGTTGGTCGGTTTTTCAAAACCATCGGTTGGTTTCGGTTTTGATGAGAAAATAAACTGACAACTCAGTTCGGTTTCGGTTTTCATACATGAAAACCAAAATCAAACCGAACCGAACCGATCCTATATGTTTAAGTAATTATTAATTAGTCTCTACCCTATATGTTAAATTTGAAATATTTTATTTGTGTTATGTTTGAACTTTGAAAAAAAAAATTGGTTATTTATGATAAAAACTAAAAAGTAAAACCAATACAAATATAATACAATGGTACAATGTTTAATTCAGTTTTGTATAAATTTAAATATATATTGACAAAAAAATCAGTTTTGCATAAAAAACTAATCGACTTAAATATATATTTTGATTTTGCATAAAAAATAAAAAGAAATAAACTTGAATATAAATCGATATTTAGAAATAGATATTTTAGTTTAAAATATATATAAAAACCGACTAAACCGATAAACCGACCCAAACCAACCCTTCATGTTTGGGTCAGTTTTGCTTCAGGGTCAGTCGGTTTCAGTTTTTGTCAATAAGTAAACTGACTAGGTCGGACCGGTTGAAGAAAATGACTCAAACCGACCCAACCCGACCCATGAACACCCCTATCCCTTTATTTGGTTTGGTAGAAATAAGAGAGGAGACACAGAAAGTTGTACCTTAAGGCTATGTGAAGCCTTGTCTCTTTTGTACCAGAAACAATTTGTGATCCTGGGACTAGACCTCTTCATTGGCCGGGCTCAGGCTTGGCTTTTGCCAAAATTTGAATGGGCCCTGCCCGAAGCCCAAGCCCGATACAGTGTAAAGTCAGGCCCCCACACCATGCTAAAACAGGAAATAATTCAAAACCAAATTTGGCTTTTCTATAAGGTTGGCTAAATGAAACTCCTACCAACCAACCACATTCATATTTGAAAGGCTAAGGAGGCCAACTCAGCCATATATTCCTCATAAAAGATTGCACGTTGAGTCCTACCAAGGAAAACCAATGGAACTGAACATTGTTATAGGATCAGTTAGTTTCCTACTTAAGTTATCATGGTAAGTCCACTTCAACTAGAAGTAGTTTCTGTTTTTAGTTTCTTTATACAGTCATTTTAGAAGTGGGAAATCCATGTATGTACACATGTATGAATGTTTTGAATCATTCAGAGAACTCTAACTGACCCAGGAATTTTAGACATGACAGCATTGATTGGGGCCCAAAAAGATCTCATAGGTCAGTCTTAGCCACTTGTCCCCGTGAGTGGTAACATGTAAATACGGACAATGTTCCCAATGTACAGCTGTAGTGTCCTATGGGAGAATCTCTGAATCCTAAGTCTTAAGCACTTGTCTAAGAATAGCCCTTTTATATAGGCAGTATTAATTGCAACCTTGAAAGGCCAATGTTACTCAAGGAAAATGCTAATACAAGGTCTGGAGTGACTGATTTTGGACAGTGGGAGTGGCATTTAGCTGATGTGAAGTGACCACCTATCAAATGGACAATTTGAGTCAGCCACAACATCCCTCAATAGAAATAGGCTAGGCTAGGTCGTGTACAGAATCTCCCTACTTGACCCATTATATATACAAACAGTCCTTATAGAATTATTGGATAATCTATTGAGTTCCAACTTAGGTTTAATTTTTTTATAGTAAAAACAAAATTTATTAAAACAATAAAACTAAAATGTAGGAAGTAGTTTCACCACTTGTTCTTAAATAAAAAGCACATGCAAGGAAATAAACTCTTACCAGATCTTCATGTAGAAGTAGAACCTCACATGCATTGATTCTCAAGTGTTACTACCTTCCAAAAAGAAGCCCCCACTTTAGGTGTTTTAAAGGGCATGCCTAAGTGCATAGGAGAAGAAAAATAGTCCTAAGAAATGAGAGGACTGATTTAAAAGTTGTGAAAAAGTGTTAGATATCAGCAGTAAAGAGAAAAGGAGAGGAGAGAAGAAGAAGAAGAAGAAGAAGAAGAAGAAGCTGGTGGCAATAGGGTTTAGAGAGGTCAATCGAATGTTTTCTTTCTTCCCTAATCCTTTTCATTAAAACATAATTTACAAAGTTTTGGTATTTACAGAGAGGCCCTTAATTGGGCGATTAACTTAATTAACCATAACGTAAAGAAGTATAAAAAGGCCCATTAACAAAATGAACAGAAACATAAACAAATAAAAGCATCCTATGGGCCATTCGGCCCATTCTCTCTACAATAGGCAAAGCACATTTTTAGCTAGCCCTGAACCTAAGCACAGACCCCTTCAAACGGTACATGCCTAGTGTGCCTTGCACCTCAGCCTAGGTGCACACCTTTTTTAAATACTCATTTTTATTGTATTTTTATAGAACCTTATGTGTTGTACACCATTGTAATGGTTTATCAACTTCTTAAATAACTTTTATTGATGTTTGTACCTTTATTTTGAGAAAAATAAGGTGTAGTATTTTTTTTTAAGAGGTAAAGTAAATTAATAAGTCATTAATAAAATATCAAAAACACACATGTTTAACTAGAGGCTGTACAATAATAATGGTCCATTAACCTTTGAAATAAACAAAAATAAAATCCTTTTAAATACCTAAAGCCTTAGTTCTTGTAAATAGGATCATGAATAACAAAATTTCCAGCATAGAAGAAACAAGAATACAACTAATATCTGATCCTTAATCCTAAAAAAATCAGCTGCAACTAGAATCATGAAATCAACCCTTTTTACATACAGGCCAAAAATTTAGGTTGGGCACAACCCAAAACCCTCACATGAACTTGACTTGTTTAGGCTTACCTCAAGGGGCCTTTACAGAGGTGGAGAGCCAATCTCCTAGAATTAGTAAAGCATTTTTAGGCCTGCAACTCACCCCGAACCTAAGCACAAGTAACAACCCCTTTCAAAAGGTACGTGCCTAGTGTAGACCCAGGCTAGCATGTCATGTGCATCAGCCTAGGTGCAAACCTTTTTCAAATACTCATTTTTATTATATTTTTGTAGAATCTTATGTGTTTATACCATTGTAATGGTTTCTCAACCTCTGATTTACTTTTTATTGCTGTTTGTACAATAATAATGATCTATTGACCTTTCAAATAAACGAAAAACAAAGATCTTTTAAATACCTGAAGCCTTAGTTTTTGCAAATAGGATCTTGAATAGAAAGATTTCCACTATAGAAGCAACAACAATACAACCATTATCTGATCCCTAATCCTTAAATATAATGAGCTGTGACAGGAATAAAAAAACCAACCTTTTTCATATACAGGCCAAAAATGTAGATCTGGGACTCTGTGCACTACCCAAACCCCCACATGGACTAGACATGTTTGGGCCTGCCTCAACCTTTACATAGGAGGAGAGTCGTTCTCCTAGAATTAGGAATGCAAGATGTTTACTAACACACTAGCTATTTTAAGCAATGCAACTAGGAGATAAATAAATACATTGAAAGTTTAACATGCTTAAATTGTTGTTGTTGAATGAATAAATGCTTCACTGCTGACAAAAAAATGAATGAATGCACTTGTCAAAAAAAGAAACAACTGTTGAATGTTTGAAGCACTTCAGTACAACCCACATATGTTTGTTTTCGCTTCCACATTTTCATTTTGAATATGTTTATATGTGACACTAATTTATTTTAATTTGAGCCAATAGACTTTTTAAAACATTAATTTTTTTTTAAATCCAGATTTGCATTTTTTATACATTAATATTATTTTCTAAATTTCTAATAAGGCACACATCTCGCCTTACACTTGCACCTTGTGCCTTGGGCACTAGAAGGTCCTTGTGTTTTAAAAAACTTAAGTATGTGGTTCAGAAAAGAACGAAGGCTTCAATGTAGGAGGTTAAAGGCAGTAAACACTGCCCTTCTAGGCAAGTGGTTTTGGAGGTTCAATAAGCAGACAGAGAACATTTAGAAGCAATTGATCACCTCCAAATAAGGCACAAAGAACAGGAATTGGGATCCAAGCTAAGCTAACTTTTAACTCTTTTCTAATATAATAAATTTCTTTTGCTGATAAAAAAAAAAGAGATAATGTATGATGCAAAACCTTGGAGATGATGCTATTATACAACTCTGCCTCTACGCAAATGTCACAAATAATTGGGATATATCAATAGGGAATCTAGGCAGTCATTGTCATGCAACCTAGAAGGGAAATTAAAATTTAAAAAAAAAATAATGTGCTTCATTAGTCAATTCAGATACCACAACTATAATACTTGTGTGCATGTGACATGTGTACAGAAGAAAACCAGCAAACATGCCAAAGGGGAATTTACCTGCACTAATTCATCAGTGTTCATAGCACATGCTGGAAGGTGCTCTGCAGGCAGGATACGAATGTTAGCATTAGTATCAGTTCGCAATTTCTGAATGATGGTTCCACCTTTACCTAGAAGACACCCAACTTGATTGTTTGGAACAAGAAGCCGTGCAGTGACTACATCATTTTCATTATTATCTTCAAATGTGGCACCACCAAATAACTCATCCTCCTCAGCAATCCTCTCATGAACTTTCAATAGAGCATCCTGGGCAGGACAATGTGGCTGCATGAGCTCATGTTCTTTCTCAGTGAGAACACCATCATCCTCAGTATCTTCACTAGTATTGTATCTCCTAGGCTTTCTTGTAGCAGAGCTAAAAATCATTATTACTCTCTCATCTGTGCCAGGAACAGATTCAGCAACCCTGATCTTTGCACGGGTCTCATCTCTCAGGGCATTGATTATGCTGCCACCTGTCCCAATAACACTACCAATCTTTCTACTTGGACAAAGAATACGGTAGACAGTGTCCGCAGAACCGGGATTCCCAGCATTTTGATCATAGTTGAAACTTTGGTTAAAGTTCTGCCTTTGGCTCTTTTTGTAGCCCTTTTTCTTTTTAAATTGAGCATGAGGACGTTTTTTGAAAGAACCTGCTTTGCTTTTGTCCATATTGCTAAAGGAAAAGCCCTATAATTTATGATATTATAACAAGCAAACAGAAAAAAGTGTGGTAATAAGAACATACTCTGAAACACAACTCAGGACTCATCAATACACTAAATAAATGACTCAATTGATTCACTGCAATCATTTAAGATGTAATGTTAAATTAGTGGAAGATGAAACTGTTGGAATTGACTAAAAAATAAAGCTAGTTACAGAAAGTGGCTATTAGTGCATGGTAACCATAAAATTAGTTACAGAAAGTGGCTATTAGTGCATAGTAACCATAAAGTTAGTTACAGAAAGTGGCTATTAGTGCATGCTAACCACAAAGTCAGTTATAAAAAAGTGGCTATCTTGTATCTTCTTCTTCTTCTACAATTTTAATGAAAAATCTCGCTCTGGAGTGTGTGCTCTTCCCGTGGACGTAGCAGGATTTTCTTCGAACCACGTAAAGTCTTGTGTCTTCATCTCTATTTGCTTGAATTTTTTTTTACTTTGCCATTTTGTGTGTTCTCCATTTTTCTTCACGGGTTGATTCAGGATACGTGATCCAACGCTTCTACACCAACAAATGGTATCAGAGCAAGGTTATTAAATTTGTGAAGTACTTACGATGGTGAAGATGCCAACTATAAAGTTCGAAGTGGAGAAATTTGATGGCAAGATGAATTTTGGGTTGTGGCAAAAGAGGGTGAAGGCGGTTATGGTACAACAAGGTCTTCACAAGGCTCTCCTTGGAAAGGAAAAGGCAAAGAAGATGACAAGTGATGAGTGGGCTGAGTTAGATCTGAAGGCATTGAGCATGATTCAATTATACTTGGCAGATGAAGTGATGTACAACGTACTTGATGAGAAAACCACCACTGACTTGTGGACAAAGTTGGAGAAATTGTATATGACAAAATCTCTCACCAATAAGTTGTACCTGAAGAGGCAATTATACAGTTTGCGTATGGCTAATGGAACCAATTTATTGGATCATTTGAATACATTTAATCAGTTGATTGTGCAACTTCTCAATGTAGATGTGAAGACTGGTGAAGAAGATAAGGCGATTCTTCTCCTCTCATCTCTCCTAGAATCACATGATCATTTGGTGACAACCATCTTGTATGGAAATGATACGTTTGTGATGGATGAGGTCACAAGTACTTTGCTTTCAAACGAGATGCAGCGAAAGCTTTCTTTAAGTGATAGTGAAAGTTTAACTGCAAAGGATTCGGGTTATGAACGGGGCAAATCTAAAGAGAGGGGAGATAAAAAGAATAGAGGCAGATCAAAATCCAAATTGAACAAAAACACAATGCAAGTGGTGCAAGAAAGATGGTCACTGGCTAATGGATTGCAAGAAATTTGTAGAGGCTCAAAAGATGAAAAGCAAAGTTGCAGACGAGGTAAATGTTGCTTCCGATACAGAGAATGATGGAGATCTTCTTATGGTCTCCTCAGGTATGGATCCATTGGATACTTGGATACTTGATTCTGGATGTTCTTATCATATGTGTCCTTATAGAGATTGGTTTTCTACATATGAGTCACATGTTGGCGGCACAGTTCTTATGGGAAATAATGCCGAGTGTAAAATTGTTGGGATTGGGACAATTAAAATCAAGATGTTTGATGGGATTGTTAGAATATTAACAAATGTTAGACATGTCCCGGATCTTAAGAAAAGTTTAGTCTCACTTGGTGCTTTAGATGATCTTGGGTGTACATATAGTAGGGCTAATGGAGTCATAAAAGTTAAAAGGGGTGCTATGGTTGTTATAAAAAGGAGAGAAAAAATGATCATTATATAGGTTAATTGGAAAAACTATCATTGGGGATGCAGTTGTCACATCCACTTTAGATGATGACTCTAGTCAATTATGGCACTTGAGATTGGCACACATTACCAAGAAAGGCATGGTAGAACTGCACAAAAAGAAATTACTTGATGGTGTTAAAAACCTTGCAAATTAGATTTCTACAAATATTGTATTTTTGGAAAGCAATGCAGAGTTAGTTTTACAGCATCTACTAAAAGAAGCAAGGAGATTCTTGAGTATGTGCATGCAGATACATGGGGTTCATCGCCAATAACTTCTAGTGGTGGAGCACGATATTTTGTTAGCTTTGTTGATGATTATTCTAGAAGGTTTGGGTGTACTTCATGAAGCATAATCAGAAGCTTTTGAGAAGTTCAAGATTTGGAAGGCAAAAGTGTAGAAGCAAACCAGAAAGCAAATAAAATACCTACGGACAGATAATGGTGGAGAGTTTACCTCTATAGAGTTTCAGAAATTTTGTGCAGCAAAAAGGATTACTCGACATCTTACTACTCTAGGCACACCACAACAGAACGGGGTAACAGAAAGAATGAACAGGACACTACTAGAGAAGGCAAGGTGCATGAGAATCTTTGCAGATTTACCAAAGCAGTTTTGGGCCGAGGCAATTAATATGGCCTGTTATGTGGCAAACAGGTTACCTTCCAAAGCATTTGGGACTCAAGACAACAGAAGAGGTAATGGACTGATAATTCCGTTGATTACTCAAATTTGAGAATTTTTGGATGCCCTTGTTATGTCTTGTTGCAAGATAAAGAGAAGACAAAGCTGGATGCTAAGTCAAAACCTTGCATTTTTCTGGGATACAATGAAGGGGTGAAAGGATTCAGACTTTGAAATCCTAACACCAAGAAGGTTGAGATAAGCAAAGATGTTGTATTTGATGAAGCTTCTATGTTGAAGAAAAATCAACAGCAAATCCGAGATGGTGAGAAGAGCAGTACCTCAATTCAGGTAGAGCTAAGTGAGGAAGAGAAAATGGATAGTGAACCAGTCGCTACAAATTCTTCTCATCAAAGCCAAGAAGTTGCACAATCCCAAGAGGAACCACCATATTTCATTGTTGCAGGCAGGGCTAAAAGGAACATCAAGAGACCAATCAAATTTAATGATACAGTTGCATAAGCATAAACAGCTAATTGTGATGATCCAATGACCTACAAGGAGGCAATGAAAGATAAGGACAGCTCACTATGGATGGGTGCTATGAAAGAGGAGATAACTTCTCTTTGAAAGTTAGTAGAAATGCCTAAGGGTAAAAAGGCTATTGGGTGCAAGTGGGTATATAGAAAGAAAGAGGCTTCATCTGCAAGCAAACCAGTTAGATGCAAGGCAAGGTTAGTAGTGAAAGGATATGCACGAAAGGAATGAGTGGGCTTCAATGAGATTTTTTCTCCTGTTATGAAGCATTGTTCCATTAGAATCATGTTGACGATGGTAGCTATGTGGGATATGGAGATGGAGCAGCTTTCCTCCACGGGAGCTTAGAAGAGGAAATTTACATGATGCAGCCCGATGGGTTTGTCGAGAAAGGTAAAGAACAACTGATATGCAAGTTGAATAGGTCGCTCTATGGCCTTAAGCAAGCACCGAGGCAATGGTACATCAGAAGTACGACAGTTGTGTTTATTTTCGTTTCCTTCATGATGACTCCATTATACTACTGATGCTTTATGTCGATGACATTGCTTGTAAGAGTTTGCATGAGATTGCTAAGTTAAAGTAGGAATAGAGCATGGAATTTGAGATGAAAGATTTAGGTGGAGCAAAGAAAATCTTGGGTATGGAAATTCAAAGAGACAGGTGCAATCGGAAGTCATGGTTGACCCGAAAAAGGTATATTGAGAAGGTATTAACCAAATTCAATATGAAGGAGGCTAAGGTAGTGAACACACCACTAGTTTAGCACTTCAGACTATCTCTTCAACATTGTCCAAAGACAAAGGAAGAACGTGAGGAAATGATACATGTACCATATGCCAGTACAGTTGGATGTCTTATGTATGCTATGGTATGCACCAGACCGGACTTATCTCAAATAGTTGGTGTTGTGAGCAGATTTATGGCTAATCCGGGGAAGGAGCATTGGAATGTTGTAAAGTGGATTATGTGCCACTTGAACGGTACCCAAGATACGGGTTTACTATTTCAGAATGGTTTGAAAGGAAACAAAGTGGTTGGGTATGTAGATTCAGATTTTGCATATGACATTGACAAAAGAAAGTCTACTACGGGATATATTTTCACTCTTGGTCAGGGTCCTATTAGTTGGAGATCTACATTACAAGATATGATGGCTCTGTCTACTATAGAAGCAGAGTACATGGCAGCAATAGAGGCAACCAAGGAAGTTGTATGTTTGAGAGGATTGGTTCAAGAGCTTGGAATTGATCAGAAGAACATTTGTGTTCAGTGTGACAGTCAGAGTGCTATATGTCTTGCAAAGGATCTAGTATACCACACAAGGACTAAGCACATAGGGGTGTGGTATCAAAGGCTCAGAGATTTTGTAGCAAATGGTGACATTCAATTTGAGAAGATTTCTTCCCAGATGAACATAGCAGACATGATGACCAAGCCATTGCCAAGGAAGAGGTTCAGGCATTGCCTGAATCTTCCAAACATACAACGGTGCTAAGTTGTGAAGGCCCCAAGAAGAGGGGGTATTCTAGAGAGAGAAATGGAGCAAGGTGAAGAAGAGAGTTGAAGAAATTTTTTTTGAGTCAAGGTGGAGAATGTTGGAATTGACTCAAAAATAAAGTTAGTTACAGAAAGTGGCTATTAGTGCATGGTAACCATAAAGTTAGTTACAGAAAGTGGCTATTAGTGCATGGTAACCATAAAGTTAGTTACAGAAAGTGGCTATTAGTGCATGGTAATCACAAAGTCAGTTATAAAAAAGTGTGGCTATCTTGTATCTTCTTCTTCTTCTTCTACAATTTTAATGAAAAATCTCTATCTGGAGTGTGTGCTCTTCCCGTGAACATAGGACTTTTTCCGATCTCTATTTGCTTGAATTTTTGTTTACTTCGCCATTTTGTGTACCATCAGAAACAAGACAAGAAACATAGAGAACAATAGTTTTCAAACTGCAGCTTCTAGCACAGTCCAAAAAGAAGCTAAAGACGATGAAATTAAGTGGAATAATCTTCACTTCACCATCCCATTCAAAAACCAGTAACATATTAAGCTTCCAAAGGACATGCGCATTACATGAGGAATATTAAATCGGTTCTCCTTCAAAATTAGAAGTATTGAAACTTTGAAGCCCATGCAAAACTAAGTCCGCACTTATTATCAGATAGAATTACGAAATCTACAATTTTGATGATCAAGCATAGTAAGATTATCGTAAATCCTCAGAACGAAGTAAAGAGAGCTAAGGAGAATCTAAACTCGTATACAAACCCTATGTTCCTAAAGTTTACAGAAACACATTAGGCTGCTACCTTACGCAAACCTACAAAAAGAAAACGCATTGACACAAAGAAAAGAGTCACGGGAGAGTCCTGTCCTGCATATGTGCAAAGATATCCAAATTGTGAGCAATGCGCAGTTTGCAAACCTTGCTAGTTAATGGTCTAATGAAATAACTCCTTTATTCATTTCCTTTTTTATTTTTTCTTTTAATTTTCAAGGGTTTCGGAATGTGAAACCAAGATTGAACCAGATATTAAAATAAATCAATTATCAATTTGAGCTTCAATGGAGAATTCCAATTTGATTCCTTCAATTTCTCATAAACAGTATGGGAGCAAGATTTTAACTTCTCTGCAAACCTCTCGAATAACGATGAGACGAACTCATCCAAGAGACAACAAGCTCAAAATTTTACAAGAAGGGAAAAATGAAGAAGAAGAAGAAGAAGAAGAAGAAGACGGAGAAAAAAGAAATTGCAGAAGGAGAAGGTGAAGAGGTATACCGGAATTATGGAGAAGATTACTTGGCGGTAAGCATGGAGGGAAAACACGAGCACGCAGTCTCTCTCCACCTGTAGAACGCATTTAGGGCTTTCGGTGTTCCTTTTTCGGCCTTGCTTCACTTGTGGATTGTTGGAGTAATCATAGGTGGACAGTAGACTCTAAGAACGGTCTGTTGTTTACACGACTTCACATCTGGGTCCTTCGAGACCGGAACATAGTTGCACAGGTTACACAGGGGGCGCAGGACAGGACCCAGACCTGAAGTTCGAATCAACTGCCAACACACGATGTCAATAACGTCCCAACCAGCCATTAAAGCCGTACATCGAGAACATCTCTTGAATGACAAGCGAGATGTCCATGTTCCCTAATGTGCGGCTGCAGTTGTTTTTCGGTACATTTTTGAAGCAGATCCCTACCTTGATCTGACAGCATCCCCACTCTATCGCGGCTCACAACATTCCAATCCAATGGCTTTCAATCTTGTTTTGGGACCCAATCATGGGATCAGAAGGAGGATTCAAGACTATGGAGCACACAGACCATAACGACTAGTTGGGCCTCACTTAAAAGTTTTGGTGGGCCAGGTCTGTTGGGCCTAAAGTATTAAAAAAGGCAAATATCTTAAACCACCTTATAGTTTAAGCAAATTGACTAACTATACTTTTATTGTTTAACTATTATTTTATACTATCCTTATTGTTTTTCATAATTGTCTAAAACCTCCCTCATCATTAATATTTCATTATAAATCATTCATATGTGACATGAGGTGACTGTTCTAATTTTAAAAATCTCTAATTTATCCTTTTATGATCAAAAATACCCTTTTCATTTGGGCAAGACGATTTTGCCATAAAATATTCTTATTGTTGAACCAATCACTTGTATTAACACAAGAGGGAGCGAGTTGATGTTGATAAAAAAACATAGCAGTAGTTCTGTGAAACTTAGCATAAGAAAGTAGGAGAAGATTGCATATCAAGGGTCAAATATCTTCTTTTTCGTTTCTTGTCATCTTTAGACACCACAATGTCTGCCTGAATCGATAACACTGGCATCTTCAACAGCCTCTCTCTCTCTCCCCCCTTGTTAGCCATGCCAGCATGCCATCTTCCATATGAAAATAGCTACTACTTTCGATCAATCTCCGCCAGTTCTGTATGGGAACGCTGTAGAAGTCCTAGTCCCCTCTCGAGTATGCGAAGATGGCTAGACAATTGCTCACCAGCTCTGTGCCTCTATCAAATCCTTTAGTCGGTTCTCCATCTGGCTCCTCACGTATTCGTGTCGCTCAGTCCTTCAGCACATGTATCCCGATTCATCAGTGCTACACTCAGCCATGTCAACACGTCTTGGGTGGTTCCAACTAGCTTCCTGATGGTGCAATGGAGTTTAGAGAGAGGGAGAGCTGATTCATAAGCTTGTAAAACATTAAAAGCCTCATTCACATACTCACTTTTAGTGCGAGAAATGGTTTTATTGTGTTCAGGGGTATGTTTGAGCTAGAGTTGGGGTTGTTTTTCATTGCAACTTTTACTGGATGAGGGATTGGTTGGAAACCCTGGATGAGGAGGAGGAGGAGGAGGTAGAAGAGATGAACAACACATTGGTGTTGACAACAATTGTAGTCGTTCACGATGTTGCAGTGGCAAGAGCTCGAACATCAAGCTTTGATCTTTAAGTATTTATGGTGGGACTGTCTGCCCTTCCTGAGCTCGTGCATCCTATCTGGAAGATCTCCTAGCCCATTTGTCGACATTTCGAACACCCTCAAAGTGTACTAGTGACCCCACCCTAGATGAGATTCCTTCAATAGGCCCCCGGACATTGATACCGTATCCGTTGTAGTAGTTGAACAAAACTCTCCGCTTGTGTGTGATGAGGGCCTACCAAAGAACACTACTAAATGCTTCATCTTGCCATTGTCAATCTAAATCATGGGAATGTCAAGTGGCACCGACCTTTGATCTGGAGTAGCAACATGGACGATCTCTTGGCTTGGCAGCCTGGTTCAAATCTCGTGGTGAGAAGAGAAAGTAGATCAGATCTCGTGGTGCAGCCTGGTTCAAATCAAACACTAGTCTTGGCTTGGCAGCAGATCAGATCTCGTCTGGTTTACTGGTGCGTATAGCATATGATTGATACATCTTAAAGAATGGTGCAGTAGATCAAATCTCATCTGGTTTACTAGTGCATGTAATTGATACATCTTAAAGAATGGCACAAGTCCGTCGATGAACAAAGGCCCTACACCAGGAGAGGAAGATGGAAGGAAAGAGGGGAGGGAAAATTTTTCATCAGTTGAGTTTTATTTTGAAAATTTGAGGAATAGTGAAGGGCAAATTCAACATTTTATTTCTTTTCGTTTGCACTTAATGACGATGTCAATTTTCAAAAACAGTAGGGATACTTTAAGACGATATATAAATAGTAAAGGTAGAGTTAATCAATTAGCTAAACCATAAGGGTAGTTTAAAAAATTTGCCCTTAAAAAATAGGGAAAAGTACGGGCAGGCCCATTGCAGAAATATGAACACCAGGCCAACCCATACAGAATTTACAATTACTCTCTAATTCAACTTTTGAAATTATAAGACCGATTCCCACGCCATGTAAGCATCACACTTCTACCTAAGCTTTTCATGTGACGTGGCAATCCAACTCGGATTACATGTCACAATAACATTTATTTAAAATTTTATTTTGAAATTTACCCTTAAATTGCAAAGACTAAAATGACCCTCTTAGGGCCCATGACCATTGTTCTCTCCCGCCCTCTCTGTTCTCTCTCTTTCGTTCTCTCACACTTGCAACTCTCTTCTCTTCGACTGCAGACGACTGAACTTCGGTTGCTCTCCCTCTCTCCTGTTCTTCCTCCTCGCTCTCACTCTATAACTCTCTCCCGTTCTCCCTCTGTCTCGCCCCCATTCTCTCTCTCTCTCCCGGTCTCCCTCCCCCTCTATCGCTCTCCTGCTCTCCCTCTGTCTTGTTCTCCCTCTCCCTCTGTCGCCCCCACTTTCTCTCATTCTCGCCCCCCTCAGTCTTGCTCTCCCTTTGTGGCGCCCTCACCCTCTTCCTATATCAGTCTCTCCCGTTCTCCCTCTGTCTCGCCGCCATTCTTTCTCTCTCTCTCTCTCTCTCTCCCAATCTCCCTCCCCCTCTATCGCTCTCCTGCTCTCCCTCTGTCTCGTTCTCCCTCCTCGCTCTCACTTTATAACTCTCTCCCATTCTCCCTCTGTCTTGCCCTCATTCTCTCTCTCTCTCTCCCAATCTCCCTCCCAATCTATCGCTCTCCTACTCTCCCTCTGTCTCGTTCTCCCTCTACCTGTAAATTTTTAGGTAGCATTGTGCTTTTTTCACTTTTATTCCTGTCTCAATTTATACCAAGTGAAGGCCCATCTTAACAGTTTTTGTTTTTTGCACAACATTTGTTACTGCTCCATTATTTTATTTGCCTTATCCATCAGACTAAAGTTTTGGCCAATACATCGAGGCCTTCCTTAACCGGAGGAAATTATCATTTTGAACACTTGTGCCACTAACAAGTATTTGACAATTTCTTTGTATGATATTTTAATTTGTTATAGTCAATCAAAAAGTCCTTTCAAATAAATTTGATTTTTTGTTCTCTTTACATTTCTATCACAGTAAATAGGCTATCATTTTTATATAAAAAAAATTGTTAAGTTGTGTTTGATGCTGATTCATTGCTGTCAAATGTGCATTGGAGAATGAGTGTACATTAGTTTACACATGGAAAAGAAGATCAAGCAAGTTTGTGTTTGTAAAATTTCTTGTATGGAATGTCAATTTACTTTGGTTATGAAAATGTCTCTCCAAAATTAAGATGATAGTTTAGTGATAATCACTCATAACAAGCATTAATAATCACATATTGTTTTGTTGTARACTCTAGGAGGGTGTTTGCCTTATCAGCATGCTATTCAAATTCCTCTTATAAAGAGCCAAATTCAGTTAATGAGAAACATTAGTTTATAAGTTGAATGAATGTCCTCAAATCAAAGATAGTAATTAGGTGATGGTTACTAGGTTTGCACATTTGGCACCTTATTTTCCAAGGGGCCAATAAGATTTGTTTTTTTTTTTTTTTTGTTGAGGAATAAGATAAAATTCATTAGGAAAAAATACATTAGGATGGTGATAATCCATAAAAAATTCCAAAAGCCCAACTTTGATCTCACAAATCCCATACTAATACCCGTAGAACCGGATGGCAAAATCTTATCATATTTTCTCTAAACAACCTCTATCACAGTCCAAGAAATAAACCAAAATATTCCTTTATTGTCACAAGATCTTGCTACACTTAACCAATATGTGTAGCAGTCCACATTTAATTCCTTACCTAGAAATATTAAATCAAACTACAAAAAGGGTAATGAATATTTGGTTCTTGGTTAAGTGTACATCTTAAACAAAAGCCCTTGAGATGTCACCCTTGAATGCCCTGTGTACACTTAACCAAAAGCCTAACTATGAGAGAAGGTGAAGTACAATGTATTAACTGAAGAAAAGAGTATGTGTATGACACTCTTCCCCTCTGTACAAAAAGTTTTCTACATGTTTTTACCCCTCAAAATTTTATTTATATCTACCAACAACATCCTTGGATTTTAGCCACTTCTAATCATGAAGTTTTTTTTAGCCTCCACTTGGGCACCCATTTTAGAAATTATCAAAAGTCCAAAGTGCAACTAATCGGCCAACTTTGATTCATCCTTCAGGAATTAACTGATAAATGTACCGTCAACCTACACTGCTCAATCAAGAAGTGTGGAGTGCATCACTAAATTAGGGGCCATTGCTTGGTGCAATATTAAAATCTGAGGCTGACAAGCATAAGATGGGTTCAAGTCTAAGAACAGTCACCATGTACCCAAAATAAAAGCCAAAAAGTTGGCTTTGTATCCAGTCTACCACTACCAAGTTGTTGAATGATTCCAAAGAGAGCCTTTATATATATGTAGGAAGCTTATAGTTGAGTTTGGTTTCTTTTAGAAAAATTAATTCATTAATTACAAAGTATAAGGGCATGTAATGAGCTAATGCCATAAAATACAATTAACCTTGCCTTCTCTCTCTTTCTCTCGAAAAAAAAAGTATCAAG